AAAGTCTCCACTATGAGGTCATGGTTTCGATGCATGTTGGAATCACACAAGTTTGATTTATTGTGGAGAGCGTTTACCTCTTTTTCTCTCTCTTGGAGCCTCCCAACTTGTGTTATAAACGGACTTTATAAGTTTTGTTGAGGTAGATGGGGTGTGGGCGTTGTCAATGCTGTTGAAGCAACCAAGTCATGTAGCTTTTGTCTTCATTTGCACCTGCACCTTCATGATTTTTTATCCACTTCAGCTTTACAAAATAAGTAATATATATGGAAGATGCGCTTGTCAGTTGATGAAAATAGGCTAAGACCGAGACAAGGAGGTGCAAGTGCAGGTGCAGGTGAAATCGATTTTGGCTTCCTTTTCTAAGACGCGTCATATCATATCCCAATCCACTCCATGGTAGCAAGCTAGCTTCAGGTTCTAGTGAATGTTTCCTGTTTACTTTTCCAACTCCTTGGTTTCTTGCGTTGGATTATGGCGAGGGCTTCCAGTTTCAGGTGCTACGATGTGGGCTGCTCAAGGTAACAAGATTTTTCTCTCCTTCTATACATATATATGTCTCTTTCCTTTCTACAACAGCAAACGTTTGGTTTTATTGGAGAATGAATCAAAAGCTTGATTTTCTGATAAGATGGTGACTTAAGATTAAGTTTTGAGAACATTATTAATTTTTCTTTGCGGGAAACATCAAAAGCCGCATCTTGTCTTAAATCATTTCCTCAGTTCAGATTGGAGAGGACGGCGAACAGATTGTGCTTCTTCTTCTGTGGAGGGTCAGAAGCTCAAGAACCCAAGATAAAGACATCACCGTAACTTCTTTTATTCTTCTTTTATCAAGGATGGATCAAATTCAGTCAAACTATCTTTAAAGTTCTACAAAAATGCTCCACTTTTTTTTCTTTCTGGGAAGCTCTTTCAACAACCTTGCAGCCGTTGCCTTTTTGTTTCTCTCCCAGCTTTACTGCATGGGAGAAGTCGTCACTTTCTCGGGGACTAATAATTAATAAACCTTTGCTAGAAGATGAGCATTTTACGCTAACATTTCCAAGTGTTACAGTACTTTTTTTCTCAGCTTCTACGACTTAGCAAAACAAAAGTTTTTCTCAGCTTATTTGTTTTGTAAAACAAGGTATATAAATTAATAAAAGATCTCTGGAAACAAATATGATTGCTGCAATTCTGATGCTGTTTTGACAGAATGGTTCGATTTTGTAAGGCCAATTTAGGTGGGACAGTTTTCATTTGTCATGTCACTTTTTTCAATAAAAAAGGGTAAACTATACTAGTCCACCCAATTATAATTCTTTTCCATTTTGATCATCACTTTTAAATTATTGTCAATTAAATTATTAAATTATTTAGTAAATTTAATATACAATTAGCGGCGGCACGCATCACTATCATATTAGAGGGTAGTTTATTAATTTTAATTATTTAATTTGTTTTATTTTTATCCAATAAGACGGTGCCATATGTCACCATCTTATTTGTTAAGCAAAACAATATAAAACCAAACCTATATTCAATTATAATTTACAATATTTTTATATATAATCTTTAAATTGATTTTTTTTTAAAAAAATCAAATTTCGATTTTTTATATTTTTAAGCTATATTTATTTTTTTATATTTTTAAGCTATATTTATTTTTTATATAGAATCATTTTATTATTTTTTAGTATAACTAATAATTTTAATTTTATTTAATGATTATATATAAAGAATCATATATATATTATTATTAATTATGTTAAAATAATAAAATTATACTTTGGCTATATAAAAAATAAAGAATATAGCATATTAGTCATTTTCTATGCCATTCGTTATACATTATATATAAAATGTTGTAAAACACTACCAACTTAGGGGCTTAGCCTAGTGGTTCAGGGGTGCGTGGTATTCATGGCAGCAATTTAGGTTTTACATTGGTTTGCTTAAGAAATAAGATGGTGACATCCATCTTATAGGTAACAAAATTAAATGATTAAATAATTAAAATTATTAAAATACCTTCTAATACAGTAGTAATACATGTCATTATCTAATTAAATATTAAATTTATTAAATTGAATTAAAATTATGACCAAATTGATAGAATGTGTAAATATTGAGTACCATCTTATTGGATACAAAATAAAAAAAATTAAATGATTAAAATTAATAAAATACCCTCTAATATTATAGTGACACATGCCACCACCTAATTGAATATTAAATTTATTAAATTGAATTAAAATTATGATTAAATTGATAGAATGTATAAATATTAAGGATCCAATGTATAATTATACTAATTTTTCAATTGTCACGTTATCACTTCCGTAAACTGTTAACGACTAATAACCTGATTGAATGCATTTAAATAATTAGGTGGTCTAGTCGATAATAATTGAAAAATGACGGTCAAAATAGAGAGGAACTATAGTTAGGTGGTCAGTGGTATAGTTTACCCTAAAAATATTTTAGAATAGTATGCATCATGTTTAGAAAACTTAGAGGTCAAATTTATTTTAAAAAAATATTTCAACATTAAAATATAATTTTAGGAGTCATAATATCATTTAAGCTTCTATTCAGAATAAATATTTTCTAACTAATAAACTTAAAATATGATAAACTAAAATAACCGTCAAACTTTTATGATGTCATTAGTCCACACTGATAATTTTACTTGGAATGCGAATTAGTTTTTTTTAATAAAACATTTTTACTTTTTGGTTAAAAATAAATCAAGATATTGGGGAAAGTGGTAATTAATTTTTTTTCCTAGCATATTAGCCAAAATTTTATATTATTTATAGTTTCATAGTCTATAGTTGTTTTTTTGCGGACGGTATCAGATTGCACGAATAATGTGTTATTTCTTGGAAGTTGAAGCACACTATCAAGGATCTCCTATCTTCTACATTGTCATTATTATATAAAATAAAATAAAAACATAAATTATTTTTAAGGGTACCTCTTCAGTAAATTTATTAGAAAAATATCCTTAAATAGTATGTATAGAATTAATTCACATCCTATGAAGTGCGAGGATAAGTCTCGCTTTTTATAGGATTTGAGGTATGTGCAACGTGGACGTACTTTTCAAATAACGTAATTTAATATGAATATTAAGTACTTTGTGTTACGTAGAACGAGAGATTTCTAAGATATTGAATCATTCCTATAAATTTATCACGAATAATATTCAACATACCTCGTGTTTTTCAAAGAGCAAGGTATTTAGTTTTCCAGCAAATCATAAATGTTTATAGGCATGTTCGGGTATTTAATCTCAATTTATAAGATTCTTCACGTAGTATTAGAATTTATCTTTCAGTTGAGGATGATATTATTGAAAACAAAATAAAAATCGCGTCGGAAATGGTTTCTAGAAGAATAAGAAATACAAAATCATGTTCAAAGTGGATACAATTCTTGGTTATGTGCATACAAATGAAGGGAAAACACACTCAAAACAAAAAGAAAAACCCAGAAACCCTAGAAGAATGAGGAAAACCTCTTGCCGGGCAAGAAACATGGAAAGCTTGGTGAAACAGACGGCTGTTTAGACCGTATTCGGGATGTTGTATGAATAGTTACAAACATTGCTGGCCAACTGTGAACAAAGTTAAAGTGGTTGCCCAAGTCAATGCATTAAGTACATAAATAGTGGGGAAAGTATATGTCCAGGAAATTGGATTTAATAGTAAACATCAACTTGAAAAAACAGATCTTCTCACAATTTTCAAACCTAGTTGGTTAATTTTGCAATATTTTATTGGACGAAATTAGTTGTTAAGCCATCGAAATTGGGATTGATTCTTTCCAGTTCCCTCTAATATTTAATCATCCGGGCTATAATTTTAAAACCAACTTTCATGGTAACATCCGAAAATTATTTTGAACACAAGTTGTTAAAAAGATAATATTGACAACTAAACCAAAACTCTAATACCGATTTATTAAGCCAATCACCCTACAAATTATATTCATGCAAGTATAGATATCAGATGGGAATAGGGTTTGTTTATTTTTCATGAGAAGACAAGTGTGAATCTTATGGAACAGTGATGCAGCCTGACAGAGATCTTGTGATCATGCAATTCTGGAGCCTTGTGGACTGTTTGGATTCCCTACTCCTAACATACAAACTTCAACCTTTCTTGATTTTATGCATCCCACGTCAATTCATGTTCATATATATATATATTATATATATAGTATATTCATCCAATAATTCAAGACCAGAAAATTACAAAACAAAAGGAAAAGGAAATAATTTAGGTATCTAGCCTCTAAAAAGAGATAATGAATGTGTTAATAAATCGGATAAAATAAACGAAAGAACACAAGAATTTTAACGAGGTTCGACAATGTGTTTACGTCCTTGGTGTCTAGACGACGCTAAAAAATTTTTATTCAATGATAATAGGTTTAAGTTACATCTTTATATATTAAGCACTTTATGAGTCATACCTTACAAAATGTCCAAATTAAAGAGGACTGTGTTAGAAAAAAAATGGGATTAGGTTGAACTGTAAGTCATTTTTTAAAGCATTGCTTCCTCCATAAAAATCCAAAATCTCCAGCGTCATCATTTTGTTTTAAAATACATGGAAACAGGCTTCCAGCTTAAAAACACGATTCATTAAAATACGGTGTCTGCCCTTCAATATTTTGGAGCAAATGTAGGAAATACAGAAGAGTCAGTGCTTGGTTTATCTTGATATAGAGATTATTTATTTGTTCTTCAATGATGGTTACTTGTCCAGCTTTCATAAACACATCATAACCTCTCTTAAAGGAAATTGCGGGGGGGGGGGGGGGGGGGGGAACTAGCTGTAGAGCTTTACATGTCTGTCCAAAGTAGAAATGTTTCTTCATCCTACACAAAACCCCAGAAACTAAGTTTTGAATCTCAGACACACTATCAAATCCATCAATCCAAAGCCCCTCTTCTTTGGCCCTTACCCCATCAAATCTTTCTTATGTTACACCAGCAGTCCGTGGATTCAGTGGTTGTAGTACATGACTTTCTCTTGTGTCTTGTTTTCATCAATGAAGTTAAGATTATCTTTGTCTAAATTAAACCCACTTGGCTTCTCAGTCCATTGGTTAACATCTACACCTCCAGTATTGGTGCAGCCATGACTCAACACGAACTTAACATTATCTTCATAGCCATTAGAGGCACCAAAACCCTGGAAATTGCTTATGTCTTCTTGCTTGATCTCTCTGCCATAGCTGATTTGGCTAGAGGTTCCATCAGATGAACTGCAGCTTACTTCTCCACTTCCAAACATGAGAAAATTTTCTTTCGCTGGATAACACTGCATGTAACTCACCAAACTCTCCGGCGTGTGACTAAAAGAAAAATTGGTAGCCAAGGTAGTGTTGTCATTGTTCAAAAGACCAGGTTGAAACGATGATATTGGTTCAAAGGCTGTGAAAGATCCGGTTGGGGTGTAATAAGTAGTGCAGTCTTTGTACATAGATGAAAATGAAATAGATGGAGGGTGATGGGAAAATGGTAATGGTGGTGGCTCTTTCTGAGACTGAAAAGCCATAGTCATGGCCATGAGTTTCTTCTTGAGCTTGGTGTTCCAGTAGTTCTTGATATCATTGTCAGTTCTTCCTGGTAACTGAGCTGCTATTATTGACCATCTACAAAATGCATGTTAGAAAAAGAAAACGTTCCATAAGAAGTAAATAAAATCCATGCTTCCCCCCTTTGGAGTTTAAGTAGATGATGGGGATCAATTGGACTTGGCATGCAAAGCAAGCAGAAGAATAAAGGTTTTATACAAGTTTTTTTCCTATTAAAAAACTTTCTTCTCTTTGTTACTCTTTTAGGTAAACTTGATGAAATATTCTTCATCAAGTTAGAAATAAAGACCTACCTGCTTCCAATGGTGGCAAACAGGTTGCAGATAATCCTATCTTCCTCATCAGTGAAGTCACCATGTTTAATGTTGGGCCTGAGATAGTTTAACCATCTCAACCTGCAGCTCTTCCCGCATCTTTTCAGACCTAATTTAAAGGCGACAAAAATTAGCCAAGAAAGAGAGAAATAGAGAGGGTATCGATCTGTTTTGGTGATAATGTATATGTTTACCAGCTTTCTGGGGGAGAGCAATCCAATTCCCACCAGTGCCGTACTTCTCTATGTAGTCCTTAAGCTTTGAGTCTTCTTCAGTAGACCACGGCCCTCTCTTCGCACTCGCCTTGTCGCAGCAAGGAGCCCTCCCCATCTCTGTGATCTTACTTATATCTCTTAGATATATACGCTGATCTGTTTAAGAAACCAAAGGATCTCCCTTTCTAAGTAAAACTTGGATGCAGAAATCTGGCGTGGTGCCTCGTGCCTTTTAATATCAAAGAGTTGTTACAGTAAGGAAAAAAGAGAACATTTTTAATAATAAAGTTCTGCAGAGGTACATCTAAAGTCAAAATAATGGACACCTTTTATCAGTTTCCAACTCAATGATAATTACAAATAGCTGAGACATTGTCCACGACCTGTTATTATGGCTTCAACTAGTTAGAGAATATGGGGTTATTATCATTAATTACATTCTCTTAAATTTGTTGCTGCGAATCTTACTTACGAAACCCATCAAAGGACAAAACAAACCCCGTTTGTAGGGGACTCGTTATACCCAAATATGCCCATTGACTTGACGAATTTGTATTTAACACATCAGTTGAACGAGGGGTCCCCATGGATCAAATTATTTGTCCGGAATTTCATCTCATCAGGTGTCTCCGATTGACTTGTCGACGGTACCATTCGAACTATTGACGCATCATAGGTCAGAGAAAGTGAACAGAAGTAGGCCAGCACTTGCAGATTGTTTTTGCTACGTTAATTCTATCATTTCCTAACAGGGTAGCCAAGCTTTGATTGCAAAGTCGCGGCAGCGAAATAGAGCCCTAAGTCGAAGGTACCCCTTGGGAATTAATGATCACACTACAACTTAACAGTAGGACATAATATTAAGACTCAGAGAATTGGTTTTATTTAATCATTGTTCTCGAATATATGCTTTACCCTGATATTTTTTAGGGTAAACTAAAAGGGTGATCACTAAACTATGATCAACAATAACTTTGACTATTGATGTTTCGTTTTGTTTTAACAGATCATTCAATTATTTAAATGGTTTATTCAAGTCACTCTCTGTTAATTTTTAATAGAGATAATGATATGTTAATTAATAAAATTGACATAATTATATATTTGGTACTCTATACTTATATATGTAGTTAATTTAGTCATAATTTTAATTTAATTTAAAGGCACATTTTTACCACTGGGCAAACCACCCTTTTGATTCCAAATTGCACAATCTTTTATATATTTTATTTAAAGTTATGACACAACAAAAGGAAATAATAAGAAATTGGTAAGATTTCAACCTAGGACTTTCAATTGGATTGGAAGAACTTTAACCACCAAATAACATAATTAAATAATACTTACAACATATATGTGTATCCCTAGTATTTGTTTTTTTTATGAAAAAGGGAATTATTATCAGGTGCCTCGATAAAAATTTCCCTAAACCTATAGGAGGAAAAGAGTACAAAGGATTACACCAAGAGCTAAACGAAGAACAAGAACAGCCCATTCAAAACCCCCTCCCATGAGCACCCAAACAGCAAACAGCTTTCATACCATGTCCTCATTCAGGATTGGAGCCACTTCCTCTGGGGGGACATCAATAAACTGTGTAGAAATAACATCCGGTCCAACACTTCTCACAAGACTATCGGCAACTCGGTTTCCTTGTCTCAAAACATGTTGGAATCTAACTTCCCAATCCTGGTCGATTATCCTATAGATATGTTCAACAATAGACAACAAATTGTTCTTCTTTTTGCGGCCATGCAGATGCTTTACAACCGACAAGTTATCATTCTCTACAATCACCTTTCGCGCACTCGTGCGCCAAGCACAATGAAAATTGATGTACACACCCCAAAGCTCTGTTTCCAAAACCGAGCACACCCCCATAAACTTTTTAAAACCTAGAATCCAACCTCCATTATGATTCCAAGCCACACCACCACAAGACGCGAAACCATTTCTATCTCCATAGTATTTTGTTTGTGATCAACTCATCAACTGCATCGACTCTTGGAAAAGGAGAAATTATTTCATAGGCCTATCCTGCCACATTATCTATGACCCCTATTAATTAAAATTTATTTACATCATCAATTTTTTCCACATCACTCATATAATAATATTTTATTTTCCAAGTCATCTTTCTCCCTTAAATATTAAAATTAAACTAACTAGGGTTTATTTTATTCCCAAACGTAATACCAATTGCCCAAAACTCACAGAGCTGTATTGGTTTGTAATCTCCCTTTGCCCAAAACTCAAAAGAATTGCAGCAGTTGAAGTCGGTATCACTTTGCCCAACTTTCAAAGAATTGCAGTTATTATTTTCTCCATGTGATCATCGCCTTCATCATTCAATAATACGGTAATTTTATTTCTGCATAAATAATTGCTTTAAACTACTTTTCAATGTAAGTTAAAATATTTAAGGGGGAAAGATGACTTGGAAAATAAAATATTATTATATGATGATGTGGATAATTTGATATACAAGCATCTCTCTATCATAGTTTTCAGCTGCTTAGGCTGTGATAATTCTTTTTATAGAATTCAAATTTGGATTTTGTATTCTTCTTAAACAAAGTTGAAAGCTTAAATCACTGCATCTTTCCAAGGGCCCAGTTTTTAACAGATTTGCTCTTTCCTCTGGTTGTGGACCTCACTCATGTCAGCTTCACACCAATAAGACTATAAATTAGCTGACCCTATTCCCATGTGTAATGGGATAAGAGGGAGATAGGATAGTAGGCTGGCTCCCAACGTCAGGTTGAGAGCAGCTTCTGTGGGAGATCTCCGGCAATCAAAATTATGAATTTTCCACCGTGAGACTCGATCCCTCGACCACATAGTTAAGAGCTTTGTGCTCTACCAACAAAACTATCTAATTTATAAATAATTAAATATCACAAGATCAATAATGTCTTAATTTCTTATAATCATCGTCAGTTTTTCCATGTTCATTGCTCGCCATGTTAACTTCCCCATCAACCAACTTGCCACGTTACCTGCATGTTGGGTCCCTCAATCTCCTTATTTATACCATCATTGTAGCCACATTCTTCCATACACAAACCTAATTTCAAAACCTTCAAGTCCAGGTCTCGATCTGCATTATTGACGCCAGACAGAATAGTGATTATCCTGCAAGCGCTCCAACAGATGATTCACAAGAGAAAATTCGCCCAAAAAATCCAGAGAAAAAAAAGTCTCTAGGGTTTAATAAAATATTATCAAATCAAACAATGCCAAAATCAGTCCACAAGCCGGACTGTTATAGCCAAAAATCGTATTTATTCGAATTTTGCCAAAAATAGCAAAATCCCGAAAATCACTCTAAATTGAAATTCGAAATAAAATAAGCAATCTCTAAAAAATCCGGCCTAAATCGGATTTAAATTGACTTCCTAATTGACAATCGAAATATTACCATAAATAGTAAAAAATATCTAATTCTAGTGATTCGGAGGGGAAAACGGCAGAATTTGAGGTTGAAAAAAAGGCCACATAGAGCGTAGCTCATGTGGAGCGCGTGCGCGTCGAAAAGAGCTTTTTGGATTGGGGTCTTATGCACGATTCTGACACCTGTAGCCAAAGTTATGGCCAAAAGACTGAAACATACTCAAAACGACCCCAATAAGGAACATGTCACAATCAATTCCCGCCTTTGCGCTGATCTGCCAATTCATGGTATCTCAGCGCCATCAAGGTGCAATCTGACAGCTCAGCATCATCTGTCTCGGATCCCCCTGCATCAATTATGGCCCGGTACTGTGTGTCTTTTGTTTTGTCTCCCTTTTATGGCTTCAGTTTTCTACATTTTTCATGCATTTTTCCATGATTTCCTCAATCATTGCACAGGGTCCTCCTTCCCCTGGATACTCCCCGAGCTCGAAGGTTAGTTCTATGACCTTTAACCAAGGGTTTAGAAACCGATGGGATCTACAACATCAGAGACTAGACCAGGGTTCACTAATAATATGGCTTGATAAAAGCTCAGGTTTTTGGACTAGCCGCATGTTAAAAGTCAAATAATTTAGGCACCAAATTAGGCACCAAATGGTGCTTTGTCAAAGTCAAAAATTAGGCACCTAATTTTTGTTGAAATTGGGTAATGGGATAATTAATTTTAGTCATTGTAATTTAGGGTATTTATAAGATTAGTCCTTAAGTTTCAACTATAAATACTCTAGCTCATTTAGCTTTAAAATCATCCCAAAGCATTCTAGCTTTCTTCCAATACTAGAGAGATTTTAGAGAGTTTCTTGAGAGTTGTTTTCTCCTTTTTATCTAGAGAGAATTATCATTGTTTTCTCCTAGGTAGATCGAGAGAGGTTGTAATTCCTATTTTCTCATAGTGAAATTCTTCTACCGTTGCCCGTGGTTTTTACCCTAAATTTTTAGGGGTTTTCCACGTAAATTTTGTGTCTCTTTTATCTTCATTTTTATTTTCTCAAATTATCAGTTGCGATTTTGCTCTATCCGATAGCCGTCTTCCGCAACAATTGGTATCCGAGCTAGATTAGAGTGTGTAATATCTTCTTATTGTCTTTGTGGTTGCCACCAAAAGGTGGATCCTCCAACATAAGAAAATAAGAAGTTATTACCCATTCTTTGAAGGTTCCAGAGAAATATTCACGATAGTGAAATAGTGGGAGCTATCCGTAAAAGAAGTTATGGCAACGAAATTTGATATTGAAAAATTCAATGGGAGAAATTTCTCATTGTGGAAATTGAAGATGAAGGCTATCCTGAGGAAAGACGGTTGTCTAGCAGCTATCAGTGAAAGGCCAGTGGATTTCACAGATGACAACAAATGGATCGAAATAGACGGGAATGCTATGGCAAACTTTCATCTAGCATTAGCAGATGAAGTATTGTCAAGCATCGAGGAAAAGAATACAGCTAAGGAGATATGGGATCATCTCACCAAATTGTACGAGGCCACATCGTTGCACAATAAAATTTTCCTTAAGAGAAAATTGTACACTCTCCGTATGCCAGAATCTACTTCAGTGGAGCACTTAAATACATTGAACACTTTATTTTCTCAGCTTACATCCTTAAGCTGTAAAATAGGAGAACAAGAACGTACTGAACTTCTACTTCAAAGTCTACCGGATT